GGCGACTGTTTCCAGCAGAGGCTATCAAATGGACGCTGAGATGGCCTCTGTTAGAAAGACTCCCTTCCAAGCCTCTTAGACTCCATTGTAGTCTCTAATGGGGCCTGGAGGGGATTCTTTCTAACACACTCTCTAAAGGACACTGAGATAGCCTCTGCTAGAAAGACCCCCCTCCATGGCCCATTAGCCCTCAATTGTAGTCTCTACTGGGGCCTTGAAGGGATTATTTCACTTTTGTTCCTTGTGTCTAAAGATTGTGTAGGGTGTGGCTGGAGGCGGGGCATGGAGGCGGGACAAGGGTGGCGCTTGCTGCGGAGCATGGGTGGTCCTGTAAGGGGGCCCTTGATTTATTTTGCCCGGGGGCCCTGAGGGTTCTCAGTCCGCCCCTGTATCTATACGTGTATCTGTGTGTCTGTGTATCTATCTGTCGGTATGTGTTCCTATCTGTGTGTCTGTATCTCCCTGTGTGTCTGTATGTGTATTTGTGTGTCTGTGTATCTGTGTCTGTGTGTGTGTATCTGTTTGTGTATATGTGTGTAGAACAGAAGAAAGGGATCAGCGCTCTCTATCTATACAAAATACAACAGAAACAATAATAAATAAGTAAAAAGTGGCAGCACACCTAAAAAGTAGGGCTCCCTCACAGGCCTTACAACAGAAATGGTACAGAAAAAAGAAAGGAAGGCAGCGCCACTATAAACCACATAAATTAAAAGAGCACAGAATAGGCAGACTAGAATACAATATATATGATAGATACTAAGCAAAATAGAAGTCCAGAATAAATAGTCTGACTGGTAGATGAATCAAACAACGAGGTATATCCTTGTAGAGGTGAATACAGTCTTTTGTAGTGGGGGATTCTTCAGAGTGGTGTAGATGCGTCTTTGTACATCATATGAAATGAGAAAATAACAACTGATGGTATAGTATGTCCCGAAAGGGGTAGAAGCAATAAAAGAGTATATGGTCCTACTCACGTTTTCAAGAGCTATGGACTTAGCTCTAGTGTTGATAACGTACAGTGGTATAATCCCCACTTATGGGATACGTGAGGTCTTAGTATTCTTTCTTGATTAGGGGACCATATGTGGAAATAAAAGCAGGAACAACAATGGTGCTCAAAGTATAAAATGCCAGAGGTGAGAAGATAAAAAACCAAGTGGTTACTCACATTTAGTTGAACAGACTGACTGTTCAATGAATACAGCTTGAGTGGTATAATCCCCACCTAGGATTCTTGGGAGTAATATCCTCACTGGAAAGTAAAAACACTTCTGTGCCGGATAAAAGGATGGTAGTAATAAAAAAGTAAAATAATAATAGTAATAAAAAGTAAGATGGCTAACTCACAGTAAGAAAGTGGCCAAAATACCTTTATTTAAAACAATATAGTTTAAAAAACCACAACGCGTTTCGCCCTTAGGCTTTATCAAGTGGAGATCAGAAAGTACATCCTGTTACATACAGGTTTATATAGGCAGTGAACATATTAGAAAATGGCGCCAAAATGATGTCATAATTTTTTTTTTTCTCAAAAGTGCTAAATTTTATATGTGTAAGTGAGTACATACCTATATGTAAAACATGTGATAGTTTAAAATTAAAAACGAGGTTTTAAACTCACAATACCTTACATATTCTATTTAGATACAACAGTCACATGATCGGTGGCCATTTTTTTTTTTTTTTAAAGTGCTAAACTTTATATGTATCAGTGAATACAAACCTATATTGGAGACATGTGATAGTCTAAAATTTAAATTAAAAACAAGGTTTTATACTCACAATACCTTGCATATTATTTAAATAGAACAGTCACGTATATAAGTCACATTGTATAAATATGTACTTCATGCACAAAATAATTATAAAAGATAATAAAATATAAGAAATATATTATAAAAAATTAATTATAAAAATTATAAAAAATTATAAAAAATTAAACAGGTCGAACTCTACATTAAGACCTTCGGGGGTAAGGGTTTTTAAAAGGAACACCCAGTGCATTTCTTTTTGTCCCAGTAATTTTTTGAGGTCACCTCCCCTCCAGGGTAATTTACATCTTTGGATCCCAGTACATTTTAAAAATTTAGGGTCTTTGTTGTGTTGGATAAAATGCTTTGAAACAGAGTGATTAGGGTAGCCTTTGATAATATTTCTACAATGTTCTGCTAACCTTATTTTTAAGCATCGTGTGGTCATACCCACATACTGGAGGCCACATGGGCACTCCAATAGGTATACAACATTCTTAGTAGTGCAACATATTAAGTCTTTAATAGGGTATGTAATACCGGTTTTGTTTGAGGTGAATTGTGTTGTCTTTGATGTGCTGTTTTGGTCAGTGGATCTGCAGACAATGCATCTGTTGCATTTGAAAAAACCTTTAGAATTTGATAAAAATGATGGATTGCTTGTATTGGCTTTTTTTGTATAATTTTTAGTAAGCATTGTCTTTAGGTTTGGGGCCCCTCTAAAAATGATATGGGGTTTATCTGGGATGAGTGTCTTTAAAATTTCGTCTTGTTTTAAAATGTGCCAGTGTTTTTGAATAGTTTTTTCACAATTTTATTCTTATTGTCAAAGTTAAAGATGATCGGTATGGATGGTGGGTCTTTATTTTTATTCGTATTATATTCTAAAAGCTCGAGTCTTTCTTTTTGTTTCACTGCTTTGAGGGATTCTTCTAGCTTTTCTTTTGGGTAATTTTTGCTGATAAATTGAGCTTCTAGTGTTCTAGCTTGTTCGTCAAAATCTGTATTAAGGGAACAGTTCCTGCGAAGACGTAGGAACTGACCTTTAGGGACCCCATCTAACCATGGTTGGTAGTGGCAGCTTGATCTGTCAATGACTGTGTTGGTGCACACTTTTTAAAAAAAGTTCTAGTGTTAATATTCCCATCCTGGATAAAAATTTGGATGTCTAAAAAATTTATTAAATCTTTGCTGTGTTCTGATGTTAAAATGATGCCACTATTGTTGTTGTTTAGATGATTTAAAAAAAGTTTAAGTGAGGTTTCAGGACCTTTCCAGATAAAAAACAAATCGTCTATGTATCTAAAATAGGATACTAGGTTTGCTTTCCAGGGGTGATCTCCCCAGATTGCTTTAGACTCCCAATTGTCCATAAAAAGATTGGCATAACTTGGTGCAAACCTAGTACCCATAGCTGTGCCTTGTCTTTGAATGTAAAAAGTGTCTAAAAACCAAAAATAGTTATTTGTTAAAATCATTTTTATCCCTTCTAAGATAAAATTAATTTGTTTTTCTGGAATTTTATTATCCGTTTTTTAGTATCTATCATATATATTGTATTCTAGTCTGCCTATTCTGTGCTCTTTTAATTTATGTGGTTTATAGTGGCGCTGCCTTCCTTTCTTTTTTCTGTGTATATGTGTGTGCCTGTATGTGTATCTGTGAGTTTGTATTTGTGTCTGAATAGGTGTCTGCATGTGTATCTGTATCTGTTTTACCGTATGTGTACCTATCTATGTGCCTCGGTGTCTGCATGTGTGTTTGTGTATCTGTGTGTCTGTGTATCTATGTGTATGTGTATATATCTATCTTTCTGCATGTGTATCTTTATATCTGCATGGGTGTCTGTATGTGTGTATGTGTACCTGTGTGTCAGTGTGTACCCCTGTATATCTGTGTGACTGCGTATCTGTATGTTTGTGTATCTGTATGAGTTTGTGTGTGTGTCTGTGTATTTGTATTGGTTTCATTGTGTGTATCTGTGTGTCTGTGTATCTGCATGTTTGTCAGTGTGTGCCCCTGTGTGTCTGTCAAAAAGTTACAAGTCTCTAAAACCCCATCATTCTTTGTTCTAGTGTCAGAGAGTTAACTGAGAGCTTGATATGGAATTATTTAAAAAAGCACTAGTAACAAATTGTTTGTATATTAATATAAGTAGATTTTATTCCAGTACTACTAAAAAGATTAACATACAGGTGAATTTACATTATAACAACACATTTATAAAAATGAATAACCCTTTTAAATATAAAACATATTCTAAAAATGATCTCTCCTTCTGGAAAAGGTCATAAATGTAATTATAATATTTATTCCTGTATGCCAAAACAGTTTTCACCTCTTTTTAATAATCTGACAAAACAGCTTTTACATACCTTTCTCCATAGCGTGATATAAAAAAATAAAGCTGTGAGTAAAATATGTTTTTGAAAGTTTATTCAAGGTGTGCATATGTAATGAATGTACAAATAAGCATATTTAAGGATTTACAATTATCTTCAACCTACAATTTATACTCTGTGAGAATTGCCAGGAATTCAAAGTGAAATTCAAAATTTAGGCCAATTTAAAAAAAACCTCCATGTCAATTCTGTGTTCAGTTTGGCTATTTTGGCTTTACATTTTAAATTCACTCTGAATTCACTTTGTATTCCCAGCAACTCTCATTTTAGTTATAATCGTAAGCATTAATTAAATATTAAAGATGTAGTTTTCTACTAGTTCAAAGACCCTAGAACTGTGTTCAGCTTTTTTTGCCTTTATACAAAAATACTCCATACTATACATGCATACCTTTGCCGAGTTTCAGGGAATTTGTGTGGTCAATATAAAAACATGACCAAATTTTGACATGACTTTGAGCTTGCTAGTGTCCAGAGATGCTATTTGGGAAAGTGACACCATCTGTGTCACCATAATGACAATTGTAAAACATTGACACTATTTGTAGTGCAAGATTACCCTAAACCTATGTGACTGAAACTCTATACAGCCTTAATCCTACATAAACCAATACTATCTAACTCTATCTAACACTGTCAAACTCTAGTCCCATTTAACCCTAATCATATCGAACAAAAACCCTGTTAAACTTCATCTAACCCAGGCTGTCACATCATTCTATGCTGTATTCCTGATATATTAAGCATAGTACATGCCGCTATCATGGTAATTATGAGTGTTCCGTTAAACTGGAGGTCCCCACAATTGCATGCCCGTGGGCTCAGGCTCCCCCATGGGTCTATGGATGGCTACCTGGGTGTAGCTCCAGACAAGCGCCATGGATCAGAAGAGGAATGGTTGGGATGGTCTGCTGCTTTGGATAGCAGTGTGGCAGGAGGGGTAAGTACATTGTGCCAGTTGCTGATTCTGTGCCAGAACTCCTGGCATATTGCATTGAATCTGGTGTTTAATTACTCGCTCCACTCTTGGCCCACAAGGCCTGGTTGGCTGGGCTGAAACTCCGATGTGGCAGCAATCTTGGACGCACAACACAATATTTGAGGCATCAGGTGAGAATATCTCCTACTCAGAAGCTGTGTGCTCCAGTTGGGATCTGGATATCCCCCACAGGTCCAAGGAGTTAGTAATGGGGCTATGAGAGCTGGCATTGAGTTGCGTATTCAGCGCCTGGAGATCAACTGCTATTCCACTCCACTGGTGCAGCACACCCGACAGGCCTCAGAGTCAGATAGATCATTGAATTCAAGAAGATGTACCAGTCGGTAAGATCATTTTTCTTATAGTTTAGGGTCAATGGCTGCTGGAGTAATAGCTTAAGAGGCTTGATATTAGCTTGGTTTGTCCAGAGCTACAAAGGGACCAGTCCTTCCATCTTGGATGTATTGCCCTACCCCTCAAATTTTGTAATTTGTTATGTTAAAGTTTTTTTTCTCAAGTCATATTAATGTCCAGCAATGTAAGTCCATCTATTTTGAAAAATAACCTTCATCTCTTTTTCCATTAAAATCATAATTTCCTATCTTTTATCCATAGTAGCATATACAAATTGATTAGCTATGCCTCACACAAAAAAAATAATTCTATGAGAATGCTCCTCTGGTATATGACAGCCATTCTTTTTTCCTGTCCTCTATAAAGCAGAACGAGTGGTCTGCATTTCAGGCAAAGTTATATGTTATGCTCACCGGGCCATTTTTTAAAAGGCTTATCCAGGATAGTTCAACCTCTCTATTCCTAAGACCCAGTGTGCATTCTTTTTAATGTGTCTCCTCTGGGTGTACCCCATTTAGTGACCGGGGGTCTGACCCAAATTCACCTAGGGAGATAATAATGGTCATTACAGCATACATTCTCTGAGTTTCCTTTGATATGCTGTTTATAGCCACATATTTATGGAAAATCAGACCGGTAAACCCTACACAGTAGACATATAGTCCTAGTTATAGCTTTCAGCTTTAACTATTAAGCATTAGATTAGTGTAAGTGTGGTGTGGTAAATTAAACCACATAAATTTCAATATAATATGCCTAAGTTTTTAAGTGGTTAAGGATTTCACCAGTATTAGGACTAATAGACGAAGAAGTGAGAGAGCTAAGCTGAGTGGTATTAAGGCTAGTTATCCCTACAAGAAACAAAAAAGCAAAAACTATGGTCGGTAATAGGGGAAAGCAAAAGCACAATAATACTACTTGTGTCTCTCTTCCCCCAACGAGTCTATGCACCAATGAGAAACTCCAGGGGTCTCTCAGGTCATAACCCTAAATATCTGCACCCCGTCACTTATTTTGCTATTTGTTAGCTCTACTAGGGCATAGGAGTAGCCTTATAAGGCTGGTTCAAATACACAATCACATGAGCATATATCTTTGTTACTTTTTTGTTTGCTACATTAAGATGTATTTGCAACAGCTATCTGGTACTGTTATTTCCAGGCAGTACGTGATTTTCACTCTGGTGAATAATGTGCTTTCTTGTTCTTTATCCTAGTTATCCCTACAAGATACGATAATGGGAAATAAAATGTATACTATAGAAAACATAATCCAAAGGATTCTGCAATTTAACATAATTTGACTGTGATAAATATCACAATTTTCTCTATTAAGCCAGTATTGTGCATGTTAGTAATAATTGGTCAGTTTTTTTTGTTAAGTTAAAGCAGCACTTTGATGTTTGTTTTTATTATTATACTCCTCTCCTTGCCACTTTCCTTTATTACATTTATTATATTTTCTTACTCATGCTACATTTTTTATCTGGAAGCAGCCATTTTGTTCTCCTCTGCCCATGATGTCTGCTGTATGTCGTTCTGTGATGCTTATTTTACTGATGGATTGTGGATCATTTTCATTGGCAACTGAAACACAACCTTGCTTAAGTTTCGCCCGTTGTCAGGTTTTGTCAGCTTGACTGCTATATGTTAGAAAGATTAGTACCTGTATTTTCTTATGTATTCTAGAGTGCTCAAGGAAGAAAAATAAAAAAAGTCAGATATAGGCAGATATATAGAAGCAGATTAGAGAAAGTTTATTTTGTGACAGAGTTACTTTAAATGATTATATACACAAGGCAACCTGTGTAAAATTATCTACAAGACACCAATATCTGATCCTTTATTTACTGTTCTGTAACTTTGAGGTAAAAAATAAAAATAAAACAGTTGACGTGTTGATAGCATTTTGTATAACTGAAAATTGCTATTTATCTGTAGTGAAACTGGATCAAAACCAAATAATATCTTTAAACACCTGGAAATGAATTCACATTAAACACTTTAAATAAAGTTGTTCCTGTCTCAAACATAAATCCTCTGGTGCCTGGTTAATTTACTCAGCACCTTAAGTATGAAATTCGGTTCATAACCCTGATATATTATTAGCGAACGTGCCTGTGGAACAAAGGGGATTTTCATACTTCTTACATATTCTCAAATATTTTCAATGGCATTTTTCCAGAGACATGAAGATTGCATTAGCTGGCGGTACACATCGCTATTTAGTATTTAATCAAAATTACTATATGGTAAATAAAGGTGAAAAATAAAAAGTATTTTTATAGATACCGTTCAAGGATATCTTTAAATAGTATTTTGATGGAGTATCATGCAGAAATTATTGCAATTTTGTTTGCATGATGCCAGATGTATATATTTTTTCAGTATAATGTAAAAACATCTTACACTTTAGCTCCACCTCCTTCTTTTATTTTTTCCAAAAGGAAGAGAGACAGACAGACAGGAAACAGCTGTATTTTTCCCATAAACCCCTGCCACTGATTTCTTTTGAAAAATTAGCTATTCTTCCGTGACTGGCATTTAATTTATTGAAAGAAATAGATACCATTCATTGAAGTTATTGGAGGCAGCCAGATGGATTCTCGTAATTGCCCAACTAGTGTTCATCTTTTTAAGTGTTAAAATATGTTACAAGACTGAGTGTAAACTAACCACAAGGCCCATGCCTTTATCAGATCTAAAAAAATTTATCAGAGTGTACTCTCAATAAAAATATAAGTAAAAATGTGACTTGCACACTATCCTAAAATCCCTGTGCACATTTAAATAAATAGAGATTTTTTAGGATCACTCCAATGGCCACCTGTCACGTCAAGGCAAAACCTCTTAGGTGAGTTGAAGCTGAAAGGCAAAATCTCTAATGAGACAGACTGGGGTATTTCTTTATAACCCCCTACACACTTTTTATATATTTGTATTACACAGCAAGTTTACAGTGCCGCCGTCCACCCCATGTGCTCCCTATTGAGAGTTAAGAAGTGCATTGTTTTTTTTTTTTAAATATCCCTTTCTGTCTTATTAGAGATTCTGACTTGTAGCTGAAAGCAACAAGGTGAATTGTCAGTGTCCAACTCAGACGTTTTGCCTTGCCATGGCAGGTAAGCTTACACTTTAATGGAGTGATATTAGAAAACCTCCAGTTATGTGCATAGGTATTTGAGAATTTTTTTTTGTTGCTTTTTATTGCATATATTGAGGTTGATGTGCACTATAGTGATTGCTGCAACCCAGGAGTAGTGGGAATTTGAATCCTACTGCTCTACTTCCTTGGATGAGATCATCAAGATTAATGATCTCAGCGAATCCAAAGTTTTCCTTTGGATTGCATTGTGCTGTGCCAATGAAATGCTGCTAAAAGCGTGTAAACCCTGTGTAAACCCTGAAATTCTTTAAACCTGCAATGTGTTACCTTGAACCAGGCCGGGACTGGTCATCGCCAAAACCTGGCAAATCCCCCGCAGGCCGCGATGGCCATGGGCTGAGGTGATCTCCCTTCCCGGGCCTGCTGTGTGCCTCCATGGGCCGGTGGGGAGATCAAAGATTTCCCTCACAGGCCCACAGGCTCTGAAATGGAGGGAGGAAAGAGAGGATCCGGGGTGCTCTAGCCTGCAGCTCCGCCGGGTTCTATCTCTTGCGAGGTCGGAGCGTTGCCGCTGTTACCATGGCAATGCTCCGATCTCGGTATAGTGAACTCTAGCACAGGAGCTTCAGGCTAGAGTTCACACCCCACAAGGACCACCAGGGCAAGGTCTCCCTCCCTGGACAAAGGTAAGAAGGGAGGAGGAATATAACTTTTTTTTTATTTTTTATTACAATTAAATTAAAATTTTATTTAAATAAAAATACACATATATATGCCTTTGTTTGACTCCACTGCACTCCTCACACACAGACACTGTACACCTCATACATACACACACTCTGCACTACTCACACATTCACACTCTGCACCCCTCAAACACACACTGCAACCCTCACACACACTCTGCAACCCTCACACATAAACACTCTGCACCCCTCAAACACACACTGTAACCGTCACACACACACATACACACTCTGCACCCCTCACACACACACATTCTGCACCCCTTATACACAACACTATACCTGTCACACACACACACGGCACCCCTCATACACGCACTGCACCCCTCACACACACACTAGAACCCCGTACATAACTCTGAATCCTCTAAACCTACTCTGAATCCTATACACACACACACACACACATTCACACACACTAAATCTCCTATACACACTCTGGGTCCTCCACACACACACTAGATATCCTACACACAATAGACCCCCTATAGACACACACTGCACCACCCACACACACACTACATTATGATATACACACTCTGGATCCCCTATGCACACAGTAGATCTTCTGTAAGCAAACACACACTACATTCCCTAAACACACACACTTTACAACCCCTACACATACTACATCATCTATACACATTCACACTACAGTTCCTATGCACACATTCGCTACATCCCCTTTACTCACACTCTCTCTCAATTTCTACAGCCCCTAGCCATACATATTACCCCACAAACAAAGCACAACTGAAACTGAACACAATCAACTCACTTTACACACATGCAATCCCTCAATCAGGCAGCACATGCACAATATGCTTTCTTGGCCCTTTTGTCCTCTGGTATTCTACTTATGGAGACACCAGAGACAAGTCAAAAGCAAACACAGAGCATTCATGTTAATACATTTTCTTCCACTGCACAGAACAAATACAGGGCATTTTTCTTATGCGAGAGCTCTTCAGCAGGGCTCTGTGTATGGGCTGCCCTGGAAGAACATTGAACCACCATGCTAACTTTAAGGTGGTGTGCTTGTCATTTATGATGAAAACCTCACCACCCCCCTTTGACCCTGCCCTCTTCTCAGTGGGCCGTTGTGATTCAAAAATGCCTGGGCCGAATTTTTGTCCCCTGTCC